TCCACAGGATCTGCCTGTTCTACATCAGCAGATGCACCAGACCTTGATAGGCTAAGAAGAGGGGTCATCGATGAAAAAGTCCAAGCTATCCACAACCTGAAAACATTCTGGACTAATGCTGCAGGTCAACAGCAGCAGCATCTAGGTCCTATTAAAGCCATCCACAGCAACTCCGGGCCTATTGCTCCGGCCAATAGAGATGTACTGAGCCTTCTGAACCTTTCCCCACGGCACTGTTCCCCTCATGACCCCCAAGACAGCCTGGAGCTGCGGGAGCTGGGACTGCAGTCACTGGATAGCGGTACCAAGAATTCTTCCAATGGACACCACTGTTCCAACCCAAGAAAAGTTGCCCCTTCGCCAACAATTTCCACAAGCAGTAGCCCTGGTGCTCGTCCTATCCGATTGCCTGCCGGCAACGGATATAAGTTCCTCTCGCCAGGAAGATTTTTCCCTTCTTCCAAATGCTGAAACATTGACAGTGGTTCTTTAATTTACCATCCTGTGTGCCAGAGGATACGGGCACATTTTCAGGACCACTGTTGGTCCGTTAAACCTGGCTTGGCCTGAGGGATTTCTGTAGTTTCTTCCTGAAGAGACGGATGAATGAATGGTTTGGAGACTGTCTTGTCTTTGTGCCCATAACACTGTAAATGGCAATGAGAAATACTCAACGACCTGATACTGTGTTTGTGTGTAACTGTGTCAGGTAGCTCTAAATGCAATTTGATTTTTTTTTCCCAAAAAAAAAAAAACATTGCTGTTTGTGTGGGCAAAAGATGCAACACATCTTGTTTCCCTTCATTCTACTTTTTGTTTTTAAATTTAATTATTATTGTTACTATTGTTTGTTATTGTTGTTAATATTAAAAGAAATATTATTAATATTATTATTATGTTTTGTAAATTTATTTGTTTCACAATCAGTATTAACTGTTTTTATAATTGAAAAGTGAACAAATCTGTACCTTGTAAAGATGGATAGAGTGGGAAAAAAAATCAATATTTTTTATTGAAATCAAGAGGGCATTTTGCCTGATTTCTTTGTGATCTGAGTGTCTGCTCTGAAGCATGGATTCTCTTGCTATTCAGTGTTAAGTACCACGTATGACTTTTTAGCCCATGATTTTTGAGATTGAACATGGCAGTTTCACAGCAACCATCTGTCATTTATCAGTAAACTGTTTCAATAAAAACATTGTGTTTACTTTCTTGTCTTTCTAACTTGGCAATGGTTTTTCAATAGTAGGACAGACAAATAGACATATTACAGTGAGGAAAAGTCGTTGTTGTTTTTTAATCAAGAGTTTTATTTTTGGGGACCGGTTTTAAATATGTCATACAAAAATTTCTTAATGAAGATCATGCCCAAAGTGGTATTTAGTCAGATTGATGTATTGAGCAACCAATTAGAATTCTGCTCTCTAAGACTACTGTACGTTCAGACAGCAGCCTGAAGTGACCCAAATCCGATTTTTTTTTTTCGTAACAGCCTGAACAACACTGATCTGATTTTTTTTTTCTAATGTGACCCAGTTCACTTGCCTATGTGGCCCTGAATCCGCTACATATCTGATATTTTTAAATGCGACCCGTGTTTAAACGGCCAGGTCAGATTAATCTCCGACCTGAACTACATTAATTCTGAACAAAGGTCACTTTTCTATGTCTTGCAGATTGTGTTGTTAATGCACTGGCTGAGAATGGTTTCCAGAAGGGTGACCCTAATACAAACCACAACTCAACAACCGTAGGTGAAAGAAATTAAAGATTGCAAATGTGCTCCAGCACCAGAGATGGGAAGTAACGAAGTACAAATACTTCGTTACTGTACTCAAGTAGATTTTTCTGATATTTTTACTTTACTTTACTACTTATTTTTATGGCGACTTTCTACTTCTACTCCTTACATTTTTACACAAATATCTGTACTTTCTACTCCTTACATTTTAAAAAATTGGCTCGTTACTTTAGTTTTGAATCATTTCAATGGAGTTACCGTTATTATTTTTCACGTCATCAATACCAAATTCAATTTAATTGGATGGGAATCTACGTTGCATTTGACGCACCGCTACAAGCTGCGGTGTGTTAACATGTCCACTTTCACTGATCAACAAGCGGTAATGTGAGCTAGCGTGTGGTCATGAGGTGGAGTGGGTATTTTATCAGCTAATCTGCTCAGTGAGAGCGATTGTTGTTTCTTTATCTACTGTCTAAGTTGCTAAATGTTTCTTTCGTCTAGGGGGTTTCAGACTGTGTTCAGCCTTCCTAAAGAAGAAAGTCTAATCGCCGGAAGTACTGTGAAGGAAAACGTTGTGAAATGGGCTATATATATATATATATATATATATATATATATATATATATATATATATATATATATATATATATATATATATATATAGTACAGACCAAAAAGAGTTTTCTTTATTTTCATGACTATGAAAATTGTAGATTCACACTGAATGCATTAAAACTATGAATTAACACATGTGGAATTATATACTTAACAAAAAAGTGTGAAACAACTGAAAATATGTCTTATATTTTAGGTTCTTCAAAGTAGCCACCTTTTGCTTTGATTACTGCTTCGCACACTCTTGGCATTCTCTTGATCAGCTTCAAAAGGTAGTCACCTCATACAGATAGCGAGTATTGTTATGGACATCTAATGAAAATGTCATGTCAGTAGCACCTCTAGAAATATATTTACTGAGAAAAACGGTGGCATGTTCAATACTTATTTAACCCACTGTATATGTAGTACAATGGGTAGGGAAATATTCAGACCCTAAAATTTTGCAATATTTTTTATTTTAGCAAATGGCAGCATTGCAGCCCATGTTGACAGAAAAAAAACAGAAATGTAGACATATTTGCAAATTACTTAAAAAAGAAAATTGAAATTTTAAATGGTCATATGTATTCAGACCCTTTGGTGTTATACTTTAACTCACATGCTGTTCATTTCTTCTGATCCTCCTTGAGGTGGTCCTGTTCCTTCACTGGAGTCGAACTGTGTTTAATTAAACTATTGGGCTTGATTTGGACAGGCATACATCTGTCTATGTAAGACATTACAGCTGACAGTGCATGTCAGAGAAAACGATAATCATGTGGTTGAAAGAACTGCCCAAGGAGCTTAGAGACAGAATTGTGGCAAGGCACAGATCTGGCCAAGGTTACAGAAGAATTTCTGCAGCACTCAAGGTTCCTAATAGCACAGTGGCCTCCATAATCTTTAGGAAGAAGATTGGGACGACCAGAACTCTTCCTAGACCTGGCAATCCAGCCAGACTGAGCAATTCTGGGAGAAGAGCCTTGGAGAGAGAGGTAAAGAAGAACCCAAAGATCACTGTGACTGAGCTCCAGAGATGCAGTAGGGAGATGGGAGAAAGTTCCACAAAGTCAACTATTACTGCAGCCCTCCACCAGTCGTGGCTTTATGGCCCTGACAGAAGCCTCTCCTCAGGGCAAGGCATGAGAAAGCCTGAATAGAGTTTGCCAAAAAACACATGAAGCACTCCCAGACTATGAGAAATACGACTCTCTGGTCTGATGAGTGTATATATATATATATATATATATATATATATATATATATATATATATATATATATATATATATATATATATAGATAGATAGATAGATAGATAGATAGATAGATAGATAGATAGATTGATTGATTTATTTTGTCGTTTTTGTACACACAAGTGTATATACTGCTTTGCAGCAAGAAGGTTCGATTCCCGGCTCGGGGTCTTTCTGCATGGAGTTTGCATGTTCTCCCTGAGCCAGCATGGGTGTTCTCCGGGTACTCCGGCTTCCTCCCAGACTCTCCTTGGGTGTGAGTGTGTGCAAGAATGGTTGTTTGTCCTGTTTGTCTCTGTGTTGCCCTGCGATGGACTGGCGACCTGTCCAGGGTGTACCCTGCCTCTCGCCCGTAGACAGCTAGAGATAGACACCAGCACCCCTCGTGACCCCACTTGGGATTAAGCATGTCAGAAAATGGATGGATGGAAGAGTATATACAAAACGAAACTTCGTTAAGTACAGTTCTCTAGACTTTATCCTATTTTAAAGTGCAGCCTTGATAAAGGTAATCAGCAGTGATAAAAACTTTGTGATGAAAAAAAAACACTGTGGTGAAAAAAAGGATATAAACATAAGACATCATATGTGGAATAAACATTCACAAACCTGAAAGTTGGAACTGTATCTATAGTTGCAACATTAAGATTTTTAAAATTTTTTTTAATAACCCATTTTATATAACTTTTAGCCGTCTAATGGCAAAAACTGTTCTGGAATCTGCTGGACCTCCATAGCATGCTTGGAAGTCTCTTTCCAGAGGGCAGCAGGGAGAACAGTCCATGTTGGGGGTGTAAGGGGTTTTATATATATGTATATATATATATCCATCCATCCATTTTCTAACACGCTTACTCCCAAGTGGGGTCGCAAGGGGTGCTGGTGCCTATCTCCAGCTGTCAATGGGCAAGAGACGGGGTACACCCTGGACAGGTCGCCAGTCCATCGCAGGGCAACACAGAGACAAACAACTATTCACGCACATAATCACGCCTAAGGAAGATTTAGAGAAGCCAGTTAACCTAACAGTGATGTTTTTGGACTGTAGGAGGAAGCTGGAGTACCCGGAGCGCATGCTCAGGGAGAACATGCGGAAAGACCCCAGGCCGGGAACCCAGAACCTTCTCTCTGCAAGCACTGCACTGAGCAGCGTTTTATATATATATATATATATATATATATATATATATATATATATATATATATATATATATATATATATATATATATATATATATATATATATATATATATATATAAAAACCTTTTTTGTGTTTCTTTAACTTGAACAAAATGTGCTAGGTAAAGACATTTTAAAGAAGTGTCCCTATAAAAGGTTTGATTGGTTGATTCTAATTAGTGGGGGTGTCCATCTTGTTTCTACCAATCACAGCTGTTGAGGCTGGGACGGGGCACGGCTCTAAGAGCCAATGACGTCAGTATCAGACAGCGGCGGTGTATGGGCAGGACCAGCGAGACCAGAGAAGTCAGCAACGATGGTTCTCATCAAGGAATAGTAAGTTTTCTTGGTCTTATCGTACAAACTCTGACTTTTCCTTTATATTTATTGAGTACTTAGTGACACAGACAAGTTTGGCTTTGTTAAACACTACTTTTTCCCCTGGTCAAAACTTTATTTTATCTCGCTTAGGGACACGAGGAATTGTTCAGGAGCTGGTAAGGCCTACCGGCTTTGACAGCGGCTTGTGATTGTTTGGCAGCTGTTGCTTCTCTTAACTTGAAGTTAAAACGTTGTCTCTCATAAAGGCGCAGGCTCCATTTAATCGGTATTAGAAGCTCTTAAACCATTGCTATGAGTGGGTAAAGAATCGAATTTAAAACTAATTGCTAATGCTAGCTTAGCTAACGGAAAGCGTCACCTGGATAGGGAAGTCGTTGTTCTGTCAGTGATATCACCCAGACAGTATTTACACAAACAGGCTGAAGCTGAGGCGAGAAAAAAACAGTTGATGGGAATTTGTCTGAAGGCAAACCTTCCCTATTTACTCTTATAACTTTCACTCATTAAGCGTTTAATGCCTGCGTGCGTAATGTAAGTTAGATTTACACACTCAGTCAGCAGGATAATAGTATTATTTGACAAATCACAATAGATTACGTGGCATTATCTTGTAAACCTAACCCGTTATCTGTGCCTTTTTGCTTGTGAGAACTTGTGTGTAATTTCCACATGGATTATTACGTCTTAGTCTTCGAAAGGGACAAAGATAAAAGGTTTGATCTGTGAAGGAATAAAAATTTGATTAAAGAAAATCTCTAATTGGCTGCGTTTTTCTCATCTGAAAACAAGTGGTATTGATTTGGTAACAGAATTTCTTAAAAACACATAGAATATGCAGTGGAGTTTCTAAAGAAACCTTATTGTCAAAATGTAAAAAAAAATATGTGAGCTAAAGTTATTACCAAAGAGGCAATACAGTAATTTTGCTAGCTGTTATATTAATGGGCCTTAAATGTTTGATGGGTGAAAAACGTTATTGTTGCCCATTAAAGGAATAGTACACCCAAAACATGATTAGCCTTCATTTTCTACTCACCCCCATGCTGAACAACACTCTGGAGTACTTTTTTGATATCTCAAATGCATCTGGAGATCTGGGAGGCTTCTTGCTGTCTGCTGACATTCACATAATGGAGGTCTACGGTGCCCGAGACAGAAAGGTCCACAAAAACGTGTCAATATTCCTCCATACTGCTCGTCCAATGTATTCCAAGTGTCCTGAGTGGGTAGCATCCAGAATTTACTCGAAACAAAGTCATTTAGAATGTTTTTAGAGCATAAACAGTAGTGTATAGTATTTCCTGAAAGCGCGCGCCAGCGCATTCAGGACGCTACGGAAGCCGGCAGACCAAACCAGATGAAAGTGCGCATTCAGCGTCTGCTCTGCCGATAATGCAAGCGTAGAAGAAGAAATGTGCTGTTTACCTGTGCAAAGAAAGAAACAACGAAAGAAAAATGTCTGAGGACTTCAGTGTTGAGGAAGAGCATGAGTTCTTTGCTGAGCTGATTGCGCACTTTCGTCTGGTTTGGTCTGCCGCGGTTTCCGTAGACTCGTGAACGCGCTTTTAGGAAATCCTATACACTACTGTTTATGCTCTAAAAACATTCTAAATGACTTTGTTTCGAGTAAATTATGGACGCTACCCACTCAGGACACTTGGAATACATTGGACGAGCAGTATGGAGGAATATTGACACGTTTTTTGTGGACTTTTATGGACCTTTCTGCCTCGGGCGCCACAGACTTCCATTATTTGAATGTCAGCAGACAGCAAGAAGCCTCCCAGATCTCCAGATGCATTTGAGATATCAAAAAAGTACTCCAGAGTGTTGTTCAGCATGGGGGTGAGTAGAAAATGAAGGCTAATCACATTTTGGGTGTACTATTCCTTTAAACCAAGAATGGGTTTTCTTTTTTAATCTCTCAAACAAAACAAATACACAAAATTGATTTTAACCACATACCCCCAGATTATGTAGGTAGATGGATGGAGAAAAAAAGGAAGAATGTGGATAAGGAGGTATATATATGTATATATATGTATGTATATGTATATATATGTATGTATATGTATATATATGTATGTATATGTATATATATGTATGTATATGTATATATATATGTATGTATATGTATATGTATATATATATGTATGTATATGTATATATATATATGTATATGTGTATATGTTTACATTTATGGCTTCTTAAAAATCATTTGTTTCTTTCTCTAGAAACTATTTGAATTAGGTATGTAATGTTGTGAATATCATAGGAATGTATTGTATCTCTGAACCATGTAGCTTTTATTCCATTAACCTTACTGTATGATGAGAAACAAAGTAGAAAGGCACTCATCCGCAAGATCCATTACTGCCAATACTTTCTAAAAGTATTTAGAGCCTTGTTCTATTACACAATTCCTTCTAATGCACCATCATTCAAATTACCTTATGGTGCATACGGTTCAAGTCATATCTCTGTTATGTATAACCCTGAATTTCCCTGAAACCTTGATGATATGAGAACTAAGCATCACTCGTTCCGCTTCTTCCTGTCTTTTAACCGCTTATCTTAGGGTGTCATTTAAGTTTAGCCTTAGCTGGAAAAACAGCACAGCAGTCAATCTATTTGGGAATTATCTCACATTTTTCTGTGTTTGTTAATGCTGGAAATGAAGTGTTGGGCAAGAAGGCCTTGCTTTGGATTTAAGCTGAGATGGAACTTCCTTTTTTTTTTGCCCTCATTGGTCAGAGAGGAGTAACTTCTTGCTCATCACATTTAATGGTGCAATGAATTAATACATACTCTGAGCTCTTACAGGATTGGTACAAAACATTTTGGGTTCATTAAATATATAATCCTTTGCAATTAGATGTTTTAAATATTCTAAAATTTTTACTTTTTGTTCCTCCTCCTTGCTCTATCATTAACATGTATTGCACAACTTTAAATTAGAATTTCTATGGGTTTGTTGTCAGCCATGCAACCCTTTTTATCGATGTTTTTGTTTTGAGGTATTTGACTTTGAATTTCCATTTAGTTCAAGCGAGCAGTGTGTTTATTCTTGCGGTCGTCCGCAGGGTGTAGTCCAGCCCAGGAGCAGTTTTTTATTTTTTTTTTTCCTCCCTTAATTTCCTCCTTTACTTTATGGAGTTTCCTCATTAGTTTTATGTTTTAGTTGTTTTCTTTTTTTCTTTTTTTGATGAGATGTTGGCAGCATGACTCAAGTCAAATCAAAAACAGTTTATTTTGCATGCGATTGGGCTTTAATGTTTCACAAGCTGAATTTGACATCAGGAAAATGTTACCAGAGTTAACTAAATCCAATCTTCTTTAATTTTAGGTTATTCAAGGACAGAGCCATTAAACATACCTGGTCCTATGATTTAGAAAAAGAAAAAAAAGCCATTTTCCCTTGAACCTAATTTTTCCAGAATTTTTTTTTTGTTTTTGTTTTTTTTTTGTTTCTGTAAAACAGTATCTTAATCTTTCCTAAGTTCTGACTTTGATAAAACCCAAATTCTCTGTTATTGTATTTCTTTGCTTTTCATAGGCCCATTCTGAGGTAGACTTGATGCTTTGATTCAGATCATTTTCCTGTTTTTGACCCTAGAATGCTTGAACTCAAGGTCAGGAAGTGATGGGTGAAGGATTTTCTTTTAGCAGACAGTGAAGCAGCCCAGGCATTGAAATAAGTTGTAATTGATTGGCAAACAGTTCTCCCTGGGAGAGCCACTGGCATAATGATTGAGAGTAGGTAGAAAACAGATTTTAGCAGCTGAATTTAAGAAACTCCAAAAACCTAAAGATAAAATTGCCATAATGGGGACCTTAAAGGAATAGTACACCCAAAACATGATTAGCCTTCATTTTCTACTCACCCCCATGCTGAACAACACTCTGGAGTACTTTTTTGATATCTCAAATGCATCTGGAGATCTGGGAGGCTTCTTGCTGTCTGCTGACATTCAAATAATGGAAGTCTGTGGCGCCCGAGGCAGAAAGGTCCATAAAAGTCCACAAAAAACGTGTTGATATTCCTCCATACTGCTCGTCCAATGTATTCCAAGTGTCCTGAGTGGGTAGCATCCAGAATTTACTCGAAACGAAGTCATTTAGAATGTTTTTAGAGCATAAACAGTAGTGTATAGGATTTCCTGAAAGCGCGCACATGCGCGCTCACGACGCTACGGAAGCCGGCAGACCAAACCAGCGCATTCAGCTCGGCAAAGAACTCATGCTCTTCCTCAACACTGAAGTCCTCAGACATTTTTCTTTCGTTGTTTCTTTCTTTGCACAGGTAAACAGCACATTTCTTCTTCTACGCTTGCATTATTGGCAGAGGAGACGCTGAATGCGCACTTTCATCTGGTTTGGTCTGCCGGGCTTCCGTAGCGTCGTGAGCGCGCTTTTAGCAAATCCTATACACTACTGTTTATGCTCTAAAAACATTCTAAATGACTTCGTTTCGAGTAAATTCTGGATGCTACCCACTCAGGACACTTGGAATACATTGGACGAGCAGTATGGAGGAATATTGACACGTTTTTGTGGACTTTTATGGACCTTTCTGTCTCGGTCACCATAGACCTCCATTATTTGAATGTCAGCAGACAGCAAGAAGCCTCCCAGATCTCCAGATGCATTTGAGATATCAAAAAAGTACTCCAGAGTGTTGTTCAGCATGGGGGTGAGTAGAAAATGAAGGCTAATCATGTTTTGGGTGTACTATTCCTTTAAGCTGAGACGGTTATGGAAGGCTGCCAGTTGTCAGTGGTCAGGACCTTTTTATCTAGCCTGTGGAAGATGCACCAGTAAACATTAGGGATGGGGATTGAAACCCGGTTCTATCAAGGACCCGGTTCCACTTTTTTAAAAACCCGAAAATCAATAACGTTTGGGCTTATCGATGCCACTATTGAGTCTGGTCGGTTTTTTTTGTTTTTTTTTCTCTTGGAGGTCCTGTAACATAATTGTGTGTGTCTCGAGTCGCGTCACAGCATTTAAGTCTAATCAATCCAATCACTGCAGCATGTCCACCAATGTTTTGGAATGAAATTGTAAGCAAACAGATAAACGTAAACAGATAAAAGTAAAACAAGTGAAGTCTGGCAGTTACTGTAACTTCGCTCGCGACTCGAGGATGGCTGAACGTACGAAAAGGTCTAAAGTTTGGCTTAATTTACCAAGCTCAAAGATAAAGAAGAAGCGAAATGCAACTTATGTTGCAAAATCATCTCTTGTAAAGGGGGGAACACAACCTCAATGGCCAAGCACATTAGTATTGTGCATCAAATAAAGGCCAAATGCAGTACCTTCGACTGTCTCCGGGTTGAAAAGACTCCTCCTCCTGCTGCTGCCCCGCCGCACCACAGTCGGGCCCGTCTTCATCATCCACTCAGAATGCCACTGGTAAGCGCGCACACAGACTTTGTAGCTTGTCCGGTCAGTTAAAAATAGTAATTGTGAAATCCGTGTTATAATCGGCAGCATACAAGCTAGTTAGCTTGAAAAGTAAATTGTTTCAGACGTGCTGCGTGATGATGTGTTCGATTGGCTCAGTAAAACGACAATTAGGTTATCATGATGCGTTCAAGTGTAACGCAAAGAAAAGGGAAATTGAGTTTTTGGCGAGAAACATGAGTAATACAGTTGTATATTGCTCTAATTATTTTAGAATATATAATTAAACTACTGATGCCAACATTTATTAAAAATTACATTTAATTTAAAATACAATTATTTATTTGCTAAATATTTTCCTAATCACTAAAAACATGATGAAAAGTGACAGTAGACAATACATTAACCATTGTAAATTGTGAAAAAAATGTATATATTTCTTTAAACCAAAGGAAGACATTTCTTCAAAATAAAGGACATTTCTTCAAATAATTTTTTTCCCACTTCCTTTCTGTCTGTTAAAAACATTGTCGCATCGTCTTTCGACCAAATGACAGAAAAGTATCGATAAAGACTCGGATCGATAAGGAGTATCGATAAAGGTATCGATATCAATAAATATTAACGATCCCCATCCCTAGTAAACATACACCATGGACTACAGGACGTAGAAGTGTTGTTCCCAAAAGATTCTTTCAGAGAATTGTCAGAATGCACTGAATGAGTGCATACTAGTACACATATTCTCTCTCCATTGTCCTAATATATTGAGTTTATATTTAACTGTGTCATCCCAAAGTTATTGCACTTTCAGTTTCTCCAAAATATGTCTGCAACAGAGATTTTATTGATGGGCTTTTTTTTTTTTTTTTTTTTTTTTATTATTAAGGATGAAATATATATTGGTATTGACTGATGTTGGCCATTTGTAAGCATATCAGTAACTGGTAAGTAAAGGACCAATGTTAAAAATTTATATTTATTTACATCAACTTGGTGTATCTGTTTTAAAAGGGAGAGGTTTGGTCACGTGATACTGATTGGTGCATCGTGGGATTCTAAATATTAACTGAAGCAGAGAGGCAATGTCGACACTGTAGTTTTTTTTTCATGGTGTTAAAGTGATAGTGAAGGGTATAATAAAAAATCTCAATAAATATTGATATCATGTCAATATTAGTCCAGAGTTTCAAATCTGTGCATCCCCTAATTAAAATCAACAACCTTAGGCAAAACACCCTGAGCTTTATTAACTGAAGCTGTGGAATGATATTCATTTGTCTGGAAATAACTTGCATGTTTTGTTGATTCAGCTGAATAAAATGTTTGGTTAAAATGACAACGGAGGGACATGAGGGTGAAAATAAGAGGGAATCCAGGTGGAAAAAGGGTCTCAGCGTTCTCCCGTACCTCGCTCTTCTGGCGATTCCAACTTCACAAGTCGTTTTCCACAATGGCGTTCATACAAACAACCTGTTATGGTACCAAACAGGAAATACAATTTTGGAGAGGTGCAGCAGAGTGTCTGCAGAAGGGGCCGAGGCATATCTGCGACACACACGCAGACGACTTGGTTTCTGAGCATAAACCAGGCTTTAGAGTTAGACCAAAATGCCTCATTAAATGCAAAAGATACACTTAAGTTTATGGCCGAAAATTAGGTAATTGTTTAAAAAGGTCAAAGTTTATTAAGAAACCCAGTTTATATTATCTAGTGCCTATTACCTCTGGGTCTGATTGTATCTGACATTTTATGGCTCTGATGTTTGATTTTGTATGACTCTTTTCCTTTTTTGTTTTTTTTTCTCTTTTACGTATTAAGAGATATTTTATTTTTCTCATCAGTGGTGGGAAAAATCTGGAGATAAAACACGACATCGCTGAAATTAGGAGTAAACGGACAATCATTGGGTTGCAGGGCAAACTCCTGCATCTGATGCCACTGTGACCCAACTTTATGCCTGCTTACCGGAGTAATCATAACCCAGCAATACTATTGAAGAACATAAACTTTAAATTCAGCTTTTTTCTAACACCATTAACATAAAGAACACCATTTACATCATGGTAACCACATTTAATCATATCCTATTACAATGCCCAAATTAGAATGACAGAAAAATAGCTGAAATAAAAGTTTTTACACTTAAGTTTCTGGAGTTTTAAATCATCACTTATTCTAATGTATTATTTATGTGATAAATCAAAGTACTTATGTCTAGAATCTTTTCACAATAACTATAAATGCTATGATAAATGCCCACCCCTAATGGTAACTTATGTTGTTAAATATTAAGATTAGAGTTGAGTTGAGAATGTAGATATTGAATAGGAGGTGCACCTCAGATTAACCCAAGATTGGGGAACAGCAGAGTTTTTTTTTTGTTTGTTTGTTTTTTCCCCCTTCCCCCACAGTTTTTTTTTTTCTTTTTTTTTTCCCCCTGGTCTTTGGTGTTAAGTTACTGACACAAAAAGGTATCTGTCCTTTACGTAGGAAAGTTTGGACTACAAAGGTTGATCCAGTTTTCCAGGTACCCTAGCCGCAGTGTTGAATGCTGCACTAAGGTCCAACTTTAATTTCAAATAACCAGTTTTTTTGTTTGTTTGTTTTTTGTCAATAAAATTTTATCAAAATCGGTTCTAATTGGAGAAAACTTTGCTGTTCATGTAGTGACTGCTACTTTTTTTTTTTTTTTTTTACAAACAAATCCAACAAAAACAAAAAATCTGTGGGGTTGATTACTTGCAGGTCATGGTAGAGGAGTTAAGATGCAACAGTTACAGGAGGGTTTGTTAGCCTTGACCGAGGCAAATAAAACACAATTATGTTTTTTATGATAATCTCTAAGGCTGCAACCAACTATTATTTTGGCAAATCAATTCATCTGTTTAATTTTTTCAACCAATGATTTCCTAAAGAAGACTTTTTTTTAAAGAAATTAAACCAGGTTAAACCCAAACTTTTCCACTGGAGGAGTTCTAGACCCAGTTTATATGATTTAGTGGCTATTAACTCTGCATCTGATGGTATCTGACATTTTATGGCTTTGATGTTTGATTGTTTATCACTCTCTTTTCCTTTTTAGTTTTGTTTCTTTCCCGTATTAACAGATATTTTATATTTCCCTTCTGGAAAAATATGGAGGTTATGTTTTTAAAACTCAGAACATGTTTTGATTATATCTTTTGCCTTCAATATCATTTCTCTTAAAATAGTTTGGTTTAATTTGTCAGGTATGTTGTTGCTTTTTACAAACTGTTTGAAGAGCAAATTGCAGGTTTAAGGTTTAGTTCTTGCCAAAATGCAAAATAATAGATTTTATTTAAAAAGTTCATTTAGGATTTTAAGTGTTTTGGTGATATTCCGTAGCAATGTCCCTAAAATTTACTTTTTTCTAACAAGTCGTGTCATTTGATTTCACGTCAATGAGTCAAATATTCTGTGCTCCTTCATCTGTGGAGATGAGGTAGTTAACGGGTAGAGTGGATGTGTAATTGGTTTTGAGGTGGATTTTATTTATCATAAACATGGTAAAATGTAGCTTTGATAGGGGGCTGCTCACACTCTGAATAATGATGGTTAAATTGATGAAACTTGTTCCCTCAGAAGGACTAAAATAAAACAACGCTGTTTCAATCCTTATGCAAACATTCAGAGGGCAGACGGCTCAGCAAACAGGAGATCCTGCACTCATTTGCTAGTGGATGGCTGATTGAGAACTGTGATTGAGGTCAATGCTACACAAACCTTAAATAAAAGGAAGAAAACTGGATCTATTCTCTCTGCCAGAGCAAAGCTAGTGTTTCTCACTGCTTTCCACCAGAGATTTTTATCTGTGATCGGTTTTCTAGTTGCACATTTTTAAAGTATGTTGTCTGAATTAGCATTGGCATCCATCGTTTACTACTGGAAAGCTAAGTAAACTCCCCAACGGTTCGTCACTTCTGGTGCCCTGTTTTAGATACGGAAGTCAAATTTTCTTACAAAAAGAACCCGAAAAACATAAAACTACAGTTTGATTAAAAAACCAAATTCTCAAATATTTTTCTAAACACCGATAGAAGTGAGGCACTAACCTGCAATCAGCTCTTTAAGTTACACTGAGTAAAGCTGATCCATTTGTATATCTGGAATATCTTAGTGTTTATTCCAATTTTTATTTATTACATCCTTTATATTTCGGTTACTGTAAAGTTTTGTTTAAAATTGCATATTAACTAAAGCAGAATTGAGAGATTCTAAGCCGAATTGCCTATAAATGACTGTAACCCTGAAAACTAAATCTATTTGTTTTCTTGTTTTGCAGCCGAGTGGTTTTACCCTGTAGCGTTGAGGAGGTGAGTGACCTTTTTTATTCTCTAGAATCACTCACTAGGATGTTAATATCCCAGATGTAGAATTCCTGCATGATGTGGACAGATCTGAAAGTATAGAAATGCAGAAAAAGGAAACGAGAGTAAAGACTCTTTCAGTTGTTTGTTAAACTTTACTAAAGCTCTGTTTTACTGTATATACAAAATAATGTTCTCTTGAGCGATCTTACTGCAAAGTAGCATAACATTTTTACTTTCACAGTGGTAAATAGTAATATATATTCTTCTAAAGAGTGGATTAACCTTAAATATTTTCAGGTGAACTGCTCTATAGAGAAATGACTTTGAGCGTAGTTGAATGTCACTGTTTTTTTTTTTTTTTCAGTATCAAGTTGGCCAGCTGTTTTCTGTGGCAGAAGCAAGTAAAAATGAAACAGGTGGCGGTGAAGGCATAGAAGTACTGAAGAATGAACCTTATGAGAAGGATGGAGAGAAAGGGCAGTATACACACAAAATTTACCATCTAAAGAGGTAGGTGTCTTTTTATCCATAAAACGGATAATATGATGTGCATCATTTCTGGCATGTAATAGTGCAGTACTACCAGGAAGTGGCAGTGTTGTCTTATTTGTGAAGCTGTTCCTGCTTTCTGTGCTGTAGATCCTAGAAACCTGAATTGTCGTCTCTTTTTCCTTGTCTACCCCTGTCCTCCCTCACACTTCAGTAAAGTCCCAGGTTTTGTCAGACTCATTGCCCCTGAAGGCTCCTTGGTATTCCATGAAAAAGCTTGGAATGCCTACCCCTACTGCAGAACCAGTGAGTTCCCCTCTGATTACTGCTTTGCCCAAAACAAACATACTCACTTGGATAAAACACACACTCGGTTATTTGTCATTTTCATTGTAACCAGTAATACTTAAAACATTTTCCCTTTCTTCTCCCCTCTCGGTTAACCTTGATGCAGTTGTGACGGTATGTATGTCTAAAAAAAACCTTTAAAAAATGTAAAGTTGTCAGTGAACTGTATATTCTCATAGTGAATTTTCTTTTGTTTCCTCTTCAGAATGAATATATGAAAGACAGTTTCTTCATTAAAATTGAGACATGGCACAAACCCGACATGGGAGAGCAGGAAAATGTAAGCTATCACATTTTAACTTAATTCCTAAATCAAATTTGAACACCTTGGAGAGAAAGGAAGTTGATGATCTGTGTATTTTAAACAGGTGCATAAACTTGACAACTCAAAATGGCAGAATGTAACCGTTGTTCCCATCGACATTGCAGACAGAAGCCAAGTGTCTGCTGCTGTAAGTAGAAATCTTTAAGATTTGATGCACAGTGGGCTTTGATTTAGTGCCTCCATGTGGCAGCTTCACATCATTGCACACTATTACACTTCATAATATATGCCTCTTTTGCTTACCTGGGTTTGCTAATTATACATTTTTTGTCACACATTTTGAGAAAATGAAACAATTTTGTAATGGTTACAAAAGCTTTTTTTAATGATTTTTTTGCCTTTGTGAAAAAGGGAACAATGTGATGCTAACCTACTCATTAAAAGAGTAATTACGTCTAAATTAGAAATTGACTGTACCTTACCAAACATTTGGAAATCAAGGTTTTATCAGACTGAAACTGATCTGTAAATTCAAGTAATCTCTTTAAATGGAATCCATTCATTGAAATGTACCGTAAGTCTTATAAAAAGCAGCATCAAGAACAGATGAGAAACAATGTCTTCTATTTGACTGGAAATGGTTACAGAGCTATTTCCAAGGCAGCGGACTCCAGGGAATCACAGTTGGAGCTATAATCTATGAAAGGGGAGAACATGCAGCTGTGGGGAACATAGGCCAACCTTTCAATATCCATACAAGATGCAATGACGACTCATACTGGAGGTCACAGAAGAACCCAGAACAAACTCTACCTCACTGCAGATCTCATTTTCTGAATTAGAGTCAGTGTTTATGATTCAACAGTAAAATCTGAGCTGCCCAGAGAGAACACAAAGATCCTTCTCTCATTTAATAAAAAGCAACATGAGAATTTTCATCCTATTTTGTTTACTAACCAGGCAACAGTAGAAAGCATTGGAAATGGTGAAGCTAGTACATTTCAGAAAAATAAAATCCCAAAGGTACTTAAAAGGGCTGCGGAGCTTCAGAAAATGGTTGACTTGGTGTAATTTCAGGAACCACAAAGTTGCCTTACATCTGAAACATAAAGCTTATTCCTGTTATGCAGCAGAACGTGGACGGCTTCCACCATCTGCAACTATTAATGTCTCTAAGGCCTATTCAAAGCTCTGAGAGAATCATAAGCCCCATTTACACTACCCTTGAAAAAGCGATCCATGCCGAGAGCGGTCCGAGCTCTGATCAGTTCACCAGGCCGAGCTCGCTTCTGACGACCGTTTACACATCATGCTATCTCGGTTCCTCGCCTCCTAGTGACGATCTGCGGTATTACTGCCAGTATTGAAGGAGGAAGTCAAGCAGTTGGTGGCGGTAATGCACCAAAAGTTGTTTGCCAACCGCCATTAAACACAAGAAGAAGAGGACGAAGAAGGAGGGAATCAAGCAAATCAAAATGGCGGCACCCGTCACATTCAGAAAATTAAGCTTGATTATTATTGCTGTACTTCAGTGTTATTATTTAAAATGCCATTATTTAAAATGTTGCGTGGAGAAGATTTCGATTGTTGTTTATAGTTGAAGAAGAAGTTGTTCTTCTGTTTCTGGAGGGGCATTACTGCCAACTACTGGAATGGAGTGTGAATCGCAATGGAGATGACGCGTTCTGCTCTTGCGCTCTTGTTATCAGAGAACCGAGCCAGGGAAAAAACGAGCCGAGCCCACCTCTGGAACTGGTCTGCAGTTAGCTCGGTTCGGTTGTGTCTAGCTCGGTTCAGTTCAGTTTGCTTTCCATTTACACACGATAAGTTATCTCAGTTACTGAGCTCGGACCGGTCTTGGCACGGTTTTTCAAGGGTAGTGTAAATGGGGTAATTGTGACCTAACAGACTTATATCTGATTATTGGAAATGTTTGCAAATGGTGTAGGCCAAGCTTGGGATGAGCTGTTCTTTGGTTGTTTTGGTCAGCCATTTATTTTCATCGTTTTTTGTCTTATTCTATATTATTTAATTGGAAAATCTAAAACAAACAAAAAGCAGGCTAACTATTTACTAAAAACTCGTCTGACATTTAACTGCAACATTGTGGAGCTACTATTAGCTTTAGTTGGAATATTTTCACATCCTGATTTTTACCTTCTTTCCTACTGTTGAAATTAGTAAAGCTGCTTTTAAAGTAGAAGTTGTCCATTGAAAGCTGGAGGTGTGACCTGATTAAATGGTTACCTTTTCAGAACGTTTATTTTTGGGAGAAGTTGATACCAAAGAGCTTTGGTATCTCTAACAGTTGTTAAAGGATTGCATAATTAATTATTTTTAAACAAATGCACCTTGTTACTAAATTTGAAGATTATTCCCCAACAAAGAAGTTTCTTGGTCTATGAGTAAAACTCAGCTTGTTCCATCATTACTTTAAACCCCCTCACTCCTCGGAGATATAAAACCGATGTTTTGACATTCCTGCTTGACAAGTGATTCAGCACTGATGGCAAACCATTGTTCTTCTGCTTGTTGATTATTAACTCACTCAAGATGATAATGTCACATTTTGCTTTGCAGTTGAAATAAGTAATAAGCAACTTTTTAGGATGCTTCAAGGTGTTCTATAGTTTCTAAATACAAAGAGTAAATTTATTTTTTTGAGCCTTCTGAAATCTTATTTGAAGATGTTGCACATTATTGCCCAAATCTGACATCCCATTGCCTCATTTCTGGGCCACAATTAAATGTGCTGCTGCTTGAGAGAGGAGCATTGGCTGCTGTGTGTGTACATGTTTGTTTGCTGCGGGTAGCTAACGAGGCGGACGTGTTTGCCTTGCTGAAGGAGTGTGTTGTGTCTCAGGGCCCTATCAGCCCTCAGCCTCGGGCATGACTGCAGGGCCCAGGGCGTACCGCCAGCACAGATGAGTTTGTTAGCGTAATTAAAGCTCACTGTGCGGTGTGCAGCGGAACTCCACAAACGCACACATGCCTGCGTGGCTAAGCAAGCTCTTTTACTTGAGAAGTAGCTCCTCTTCGTGTCCCCCGGCACATCGATTCACAGACCTCATTAGTACCGCTGTGTATTGTTATAGAAATGGAGCTCTGAGCATTAAAACAACCAGATTATTGTGGCTGAATGTGTGCAGCGCTGTCACGTGGCTGCGTTTCCATTTCTCTCTCTGTTTGGCATCCTTCTGTTGAGAAGTAACCCTGAAAAAAGAATCTTTTTAGCTGCAGGCGTATGATGATTTATTTAAAATTACTGGGCACTCGAGTTGTTGTTAAGCTGAAAACCATTCATTCTTTTTTTTTTCTCGCTTGTATTTAATGACGTTCATTTTTGTCATGTTATGCTAATCTTTTAGATGTGTGTTCCGGTTCTTAGAACCAGGTTCAGCTTTATAATGGCACTATGAGTAGTTTCATCAGATAATTTGTGCCAGACTGAATAAGCTTTATGCGTAGCCCACCTTCTCATCAATCCACATCATTTAGCACTGCTGGGTATCTTTCTGATATCTACAAATACTGTACTTTAATATGCGTTGTTACATAATTATTTCCTTCCTTCCAATTTTCCATTGTGAAAAACAGTTTATGTTGCACAACCTGGGGGTTTTTGCAGGTTATGTAAAATTTTTCTGGGGTTTGCAACATTAATTATTGAAAATAAAATTCTTTCCATAGGACTACAAGCCTGATGAAGACCCAGCCATATTCAAGTCGGTTAAAACTGCCAGAGGACCCCTGGGGCCAACCTGGAAGGTAATAATATAGTAGCATGATATAAAACACAAATCAGCTTGCAGAGGCATTCAGTTCATACCCTTTGAATGTTTTCATATTTTATCAACTTGCAACGCAGTACTGTACTTTATTATTTGATGTGAAAGAGCAACACAAAGTTGTGTGGAACTGCAAAATGGGGTGCATAATGAGATTTTTGGTTAAAGTTGTGGAAAGTATAAAAAGGATGGCATACTAAACAAGATTCCAAGCTTTAAATACCCAACAATGCATTGTTCGATGTTTTATGTAAAAAAAAGGGAAGATTTTGCAAAACCTCAGATCTACTAAGACCTGAAATATGTTGGGGTAGCATCATTGCATACAGGGCAGTCCTGGAGAATAACCTGTCTAAATCTGCAGAAGATTTAAACCAGATTTTTTTTACCTGCAGAATACTTTTGATGTTAGACTGGCTCACAGTCAAAAACTAAATCCAGCCTGGAATCTGTGGCAGACTAGCCACCTGAACTGGAGTCTTATGCCTTGGCCACGGGGTATGAAGTAGCTAGACATGTTGTAATTTTCTTTGGCTGCAGCTCTGTAAACTAAAGACTCTGCTCATTATTGTACTAATTTATCACCAGATGTAAAGCTGCTGCTAGAATCTCACTCTGTCTGCTGTTTCAACCACTGGAATCTTTCTAAATTATTCAGTTTCTTATTAGATTTGCTTCCCTAATTAATTGCAGTTTGCACTCCATACACCCAGAGAATATAAACACAGTTAGATTGACTTGGCACAGTATACCTGGGATGAGTCGCACATTTAAGGACTAATTCACAACTATGGTAAGCTGCAGTGAATAGCAGAAACACAGACTATAACAAATTCAGTGGAAGGTTAATGGTCTCTTTTTAAACAGTGCTTGATTGCCGAGTTACTGTTCCCTCACGATTTGGTAGTGAATTGATTATAAGGAGATATTAATTAGATTGAAAAGCTAGAAAATCAGCATGAGACTTCTGTGCAGAGAAGGCTGGCTTGTTGGATCTAAATTGAACAGATGTTTTGAGACACAGACAGAAAAGCTCTAAATAGAAATGTTGCTGCTTCTTGCTACATTTATGTTATCAATTTACAGTTTTTAAGTATTCATACCCAATTAAACTTGTCTCATTACAACCAAAAACTTTATATGACTGGGATTTTATGTAATGCACTCTAAAACTTAAGAGGTTTTCTTCCAACACCTCTATATAAAATGCTGTTTGGCCAACTGGCTTTCATAGTTACCTAATTAGTTTAATGAACATGGGAATAATTTTCACAGAAGTCACTTTACAGACCAGGGTTATGGTTCTGGACAACTTAACAGCAAGGTTTGGTTGCAAAATGAGTTTTAGGCACCTCATGGAACACATCACTATATGTCATCTGAAAATCAAGAGCGTATAGATAAAATCCACTGCTGTCCACCTGTGGTTAATTGACCATAACACAGAGGGGCACAGAGGCAAAAAACTTGCGCACACACACACACTCACCTGAGGACAATTTAGAGAAGCAGTTGTGTTTTTGGACTGTGGGAGGAAGCTGGAGTGCCCAGAGAGAACCAACGCATGCAAGGTTAGAACATGCATAGTCCATGCAGAAAGACCCTGGAATTGAAACAAGAACCTATTTGCTGCAAGGCAGCAGTGCTACAAACTGTGAAGCCTGTATAATTCTCCATTTCCTAATTATGCTCTACTCTGTTACATGCTAAATGTGAAAGTAAAAGGGAAACAGATACTTTTTATGTTAATAGATGATGATGTTAATGTTCTTATGAGTCTAATTTAAAGATCACTATTCTTTCTTTTTTTTATTCAAACTAGAAACCAAAAACAAGAGGAACAGATGCTCAGCAAAGCTCCAGACGTTTGACAGGCAGTTGTCTGATTTGTGTTTTGGCCCATTTGAGGCTGCATGGGTGGAGTGGAAGAACATTAGGTCCTTATTTTCTTAAAACCCAAAATAATAAAAAAGGATAAGCTTTTTAGTTTAATTTCAGTAATGAAATAGATTTGTTTGGTGTGTGGGTTTACTGCATTATGATGTTGATGTAGTCTTGCAGCAAGTTTTCTTGTACAGTAGCAATTTTAATTACAGTGATAAACTTTGTATTCATTGATCAAAGCTAAAAGCCTGGGATAAAGTTAATGAGTAAGAATTATCTTTCCTAAATATACTTAATCAGAACACTTTGTCAATGGTTTTCCCAAGTGTTATCCTTTACAGGTAAATAGAGGGAAGTTAAAGTATTGCCGCTGTTGGAAATCGATGAATTATTTTTAGTCCAAGATACACTATATTGCCAAAAGTATTTGCTCACCTGCCTTGACTCACATATGAGCTTAAGTGACATCCCGTTCCTAATCCATAGGGTTCAATATGACGTCGGTCCACCCTTTGCAGCTAGAACAGCTTCAACTCTTCTGGGAAGGCTGTCCACAAGGTTTAGGAGTGTGTTTATGGGAATTTTTGACCATTCTTCCAGAAGCGCATTTGTGAGGTCGCACACTGATGTTGGACGAGAAGGCCTGGCTCTCAGTCTCCGCTCTAATTCATCCCAAAGGTGTTCTATCGGGTTGAGGTCAGGACTCTGTGCAGGCCAGTCAAGTTCATCCACACCAGACTCTGTCATCCATGTCTTTATGGACCTTGCTTTGTGCACTGGTGCACAGTCATGTTGGAAGAGGAAGGGGCCAGCTCCAAACTGTTCCCACAAAGTTGGGAGCATGGAATTGTCCAAAATGTCTTGGTATGCTGAAGCATTCAGAGTTCCTTTCCTTGGAACTAAGGGGCCAAGCCCAGCTCCTGAAAAACAACCCCACACCATAATCCCCCCTCCACCAAACTTTACACTTGGCACAATGCAGTCAGACAAGTACCGTTCTCCTGGCAACCGCCAAACCCAGACCCGTCCATCAGATTGCCAGATGGAGAAGCGCGATTCGTCACTCCAGAGAACGCGTCTCCACTGCTCTAGAGTCCAGTGGCGGCGTGCTTTACACCACCGCATCCGACGCTTTGCATTGCACTTGGTGATGTATGGCTTGGATGCAGCTGCTCGACCATGGAAACCCATTCCATGAAGCTCTCTGCGCACTGTTCTTGAGCTAATCTGAAGGCCACATGAAGTTTGGAGGTCTGTAGTGATTGACTCTGCAGAAAGTTGGCGACCTCTTCGCACTATGCGCTTCAGCATCCGCTGACCCCGCTCCGTCAGTTTACGTGGCCTACCACTTCGTGGCTGAGTTGCTGTCGTTCCCAAACACTTCCATTTTCTTATAATACAGCTGACAGTTGACTGTGGAATATTTAGGAGCGAGGAAATTTCACGACTGGATTTGTTGCACAGGTGGCATCCTATCACAGTTCCACGCTGGAATTCACTGAGCTCCTGAGAGCGACCCATTCTTTCACAAATGTTTGTAAAAACAGTCTGCATGCCTAGGTGCTTGAATTTATACACCTGTGGCCATGGAAGTGATTGGAACACCTGATTCCAATAATTTGGATGGGTGAGCAAATACTTTTGGCAATATAGTGTATATGTCCTGATCTTTGAGTTGTATTCTTTTGTGGCACAATGTTGATGTAAAATTGATAAAGATTCACTTTAAGGGACAATGATTGTAAATTTGAACTATTTTTCTGAAAGCCGACACTTTTGATTAAAAGGATTTGATTTAGGCAAACATATTTATGTAAAAAAAAAAACAAAACAAAAAAACTGGTTGCGTTAATGGAGCACTTACAGTCTGTTCTGCAGTGGATCCCTTAAAGTGCACCATGGGAAAACGTTCCTCTGCTGCAACATTTTTTTTAACATAACAAAGACATCCTAACTGCTTTTAAAAGTGAGAATAAAGAGCGTAACTTTTTTTATTTTGTTATTCTTAATTGGATCACTTTCCCGTCCGCTGCGGACAAGGAAAAAGTGTTTTATTATAAAGGTTGGGGAGAAAAAAAAATTATAGTTATGTGACAACAGAAGCATAATTTTTGCCAGCTTCTCAGAGCAATAAAACTGTTGTCTATCTCTGCATGCACACATGCTTGCATATCGGCAGGCCTTTGTATTTCTGAAAACTTGTGCTCCTTTGAGTGGGGCACAGAGAGGGAGAGAAGAAATGTCACCGTAAGTGTTTTGATGTAGAATCCGTTTCATGTGAAGTTCTCCTTTAGCGATGACAACTTTTCTAAACCCACTGCAAATTTAGAAATGTTTCTCATTTCGCCTCTCTCGCGCTCCTTCATGATCGCTGCATCAAACGGCAGCAGGATGGGGCGTGATTGAGGCGAGTCTGTGGCATTTTCCACTTGGAACGCTGAGCTGGAATGAAGTGATTAATTAAACAGGTGTTCTCGGAGGGAGAGCGTGCGCCTGTGTGTGTTCTTTGGAGGGGGCGAGCAGGTCCTAGGTGTTAATAATGTAACCGGCTTTGCACCGCGACACCCTTATCGCTTTATGAGCACCGTTTTATCTGCCTTCTGTGGCCACAAAGGCGCGCCTGTCGGGAGCGGTGTCGCTGTCAGGGCGGAAGCAGGGAAATGGTCCCTTCATCTAGAGTTTATCCACTTTGCTCTACCCCCCTCCCACACACACACACAGTGCCCCCCCTCTCTTGTCTTCTCTTCTTCAGAGGCAGGCACATCGCAAGCAGCGATGGATGAATTTAGAAAGTGTCTTGTAGATTAGGGCGCTTTTATCTTCGCACAGCACAACTTCATATTGATAATTATTTTAGTAAGCTCCAAACCCAGCGCATTATGTATTAATGATTTTTAGCTTTGCACGCATCTAAGATGAGTCTAAAGCGGCGTTCTCTTATCCTTATGCTGTTTTTTCACATTTAGCTCAATGGAAAGTTTGTCAAGTTTTCTGTTTCCTTATTTAGTTTGATACTTTTTAAAGGAGCGGTGCTTATTTTCCCCAACAGAAAGAGCTGCCGAGTAAAAGTGACTGCCCAAAGATGTGCGCCTACAAACTAGTCACAGTCAAGTTTAAGTGGTGGGGGCTGCAAACCAAAGTGGAGAACTTCATCCATGAGGTTAGTGATTTTTGTTTTTCACAGTCACCGTTACCAGGGTTCCCGCGGGTCCTTGAAAAGTCTTAAAAGGCATTGAATTCTTCAAAATAAAACTAAGGCCTTAATTAGTATTAAAATGTCTTAAATCAGTCTTTCGTAGCTCTTAATTTTTAAAACATCATAAATAGGATTATTTTTATTACGATTTATTTTTGTAATCTAAATAAAACGTTAAAATTGACCTTTTTTTTTTTTAAATAAAAAAAATAACTGCTCGCCATTATTGGTTCTGTCCCGATAGCGGAACCAATAAAAGCGTTTTTGTGGCCGGGATATTTGGGAGATGCAACATTAACTTTTTGTCTGGAAAATATGAGCAAGTGTAAATGTAACGAAAATAGGCTATTCAGCCAAGAGTTTTCTCCATGGTTAAAACCAGTACCAGGGAACACACATGAGGCACAGTTTATTTTGTGCAAGAAGCGATTCAAGCTCGGAACGATGGGAATTAAGGCAGTGGAGTCGCACATGCGAAGAGCGAAACACAAAGCTTCAAAATCGAGTTACCGAGAAACAGCCGGTATTTCTCGGTTTTGTTCGACCCTTGTCTCTGCAACGCCTCCACTTATCACCAAATCAAACGTACTAAGAAAAAGATACAAAGAAAAATAGCTGCAAAAAAGACTTGGCACTGGTTATGTTGTGGCTTTAAAACGAAAGTTACGTATGTAACTACGGTTCTATGAATCCCGGATGACCGCCAGAGGGCGGTGCTGAAAGCACTGAATGTTCCCTTCGGGCATGCGCAGTTCGAGTAATTATACCAACAGAGTCACACCTGTGACACCGGATGACCACTCAGAAGCTATATAGCTTGGTGTCATCCTTTGCTCTGCTCCTACAGAATCTTCTCGCAAAAGCAAGGATTCTGAGTGACAGAGAAGCTCTGGCGGTCATGGGTCATCCGGGATTCATAGAACCGTAGTTACATACGTAACTTTGGTTCTATTTCATCCCTACTGACCGCCAGAGGGCGGTGCTGAAAGCACTGAATGACTAATGCCAACGATGTCACAAGGAATCCTGAGCACATACCTCACAGAGGAGGCCCAGCAGAACCTTGTAAAAGGACCTGACCCAGGGGATGAGGGGCAGCCACATTGACACTGTAGAACCTGGTGAAGGTGGTTGGGGAAGCCCATGAAGCAGCAGCACATATAGCTTCCAGCGGAACCCCCCTCAAAGCAGCCCAGGAAGCGGTGACGCTCCTGGTGGAATGTGCTCTCACACCGACTGGCAGGGAGCAGTGACCTGCAGCGTAGGCGTGGCAGATGACACTCACAATCCAATGGGACAGACGCTGTTTAGAAAGAGGACAGCCTAACCTTGGACCCCCATAGCATAGGAAAAGCTGGTCCGAGCGTCTCAGATTGGCGGTGGCTGCAATGTATGCCTCCAACGCTCTTACTGGGCACAACAACTCACTCAGTTGTACCAGATTGAGGCTGAAACCGAGCCAGCCGCAATGGCTGGTTACGGTGAAAAGGAGACAACACCTTAGGAACAAACGCAGTATTAGGCCACAGGGTAACACCAGAGCCATCTGGATTCCACCTGTTACACGTAGGGCTGACAAAAAGAGCATGCAGCTCGCTGACCCTCTTAGCTGAGACGATAGCCATCAGGAAAGCAGTCTTGCAGGAAAGCCACTTGAGTTCTGCTTGTGCCAAAGGCTCGAATGGAGGGTGGCACAGAGCTGTGAGAACCAACGGCAGATCCCAATCTGGGGCTCGTGGGGCTGGCTGCTGGCACAACCTACGAGCACCACGCAGAAAAAGTGAAACCAGTTCATGGCACCCCACTGTACGGTTGTCAACAGTTCGGTGAAGACATGAAATTGCTGCAACATACACTTTAAGGGTCGAAGGAGAGCGGCCCTTATCAAGGAGAGACTGGAGGAACTCCAAAATAGTGGGCACCGAGCAGGAAACTGGGTTCTCATTGTGGGCAGAGCACCACTGAGAAAAGAGGCGCCATCTGTTAGCATACTGCAGCCGAGTGGAGGAAGCCCTAGCACTCAATACGGTGTGTCTCACGGTGTCTGAACACCCAGTCAGCCTCCCAGGGGCCATGCCCACAGCTGGAGACGTTGAGGGTTGGGGTGCCATATCTGTCCCCCCAACTGAGACAGCAGATCCCTCCTTGCTGGAAGACGCCATGGAGTACCGTGACACAGACTCCAAAGCAGCGGGAACCACGGCCGCGATGGCCAGAACGGAGCTACCAGCAACACTCTGTGGCCCTGCTCGAGAACCCTCCGTAGAGTCGGCCAAATCAGTGAGAGGGGTGGAAAGGCATACAGGAGAACCTGCGGCCATGGATGAGCCAGTGCATCCTGGCCCAGTGCGCCCGCCATCCCGGTTAGGGAATACCATAGGGGGCAATGGGTCGACTCCTCTGTGGCGAACAGATCTACCTCTGCCTGCCCAAAGAGGTTCCAGATTATGCGCACTACGTCGCGGTGAAGAGACCACTCTCCCGGTACAGGTGCTTGGCGGGATAGAGGGTCCGCAACCTGGTTCTGCCGTCCTGGCAGATACGCTGCGCGCAGGGTACACAGACGGGGAAACGCCCATTCCAGGAGATCCCTCGACACCTTCAAGAGACGTGCTGACCTGGTGCCACCTTGGTGGTTTATATGATAAACAACAGAGGTGTTGTCTGTCCGAATCAGCACGTGCCTTCCCTCTAGGTGGGGCAGAAGGCACCTGAGGGCCATGTGCACAGCCGCAGCTCCAGCACATTCATGTGTTCGGTGCACTCCCTTGGGTCCCAGAGACCCCGAATAGCTCTGTGTTGCCACACGGCACCCCAGCCCATGAGGCTGGCATCCGTGGTGACCACCTCCCTTCGACACACTACTAGCCCCATTGGAACACCACTGGACAAAAGGGTCCCGTCTCGCCAAGGAGCCAGGGCATGGAGGCAGCTCCTGGTCACCATTAGCCTGCGATGCCTGTGCAGCCTGGCGTCTAGGCGAAAGCTGTTGAGCCATCGCTGCAAAGGACGCAGAAGGAGCAGCCCTAAGGGCACGACACGAGTGACTGATGTCAGTTTGCCCAGCATTCGCAGGAAGATGATGTAGGGAAGCTCCCTGCCCAGTCTGAATCGACGGACAAGCTGGAGTATGTCGTCCACCCTGTGAACAGATGGACGGGCCATCATGGTAGCAGAGTCCAGATGCATCCCAAGAAAGGTGGTTGTCTGAGATGGAACAAGACAACTCTTTGCCAAGTTGACTTTGAGGCCTAACAGTGACACATGAAGTAGAAGCTGGGACGTATCCTGAGAGGCAGCTACCTGAGAGGGAGCACAAAGAAGCCAATCGTCCAGGTATGGCAGAATCCTGACTCCGGAGGCCTGTAGAGGAGAGAGGGCTGCTTTCACGCATCGAGTAAACACCCTCGGGGAAAGGGAGAGCCCGAATGGGAGCACCAGGAATTGCCAATGGCGCCCCCGATAGGCAAACCTGAGAAAACGGCGATGTTCTGCCGCAATAGGCACGTGAAAGTAGGCATCTGTCAGATCTACTGATGTAAACCAATCTCCCGCCACAATGGTCTGAAGGACCTCTGTTATGGTGAGCATGTGGAAGGGAAGGACCTTCAGGTACCGATTCAGTCCCCTTAGATCTAAAATGGGCGAAAACCGGCGGTCTTCTTGGCCACAAGGAAGTATGTGGAGTAGTAGCCTCTGGGTTGCCGCAGAGGATCTACAGACTCGATTGCCCCCTTGCCCAGGAGGGCGGAAAGCTCCTGTTCTAGTGCCTGAGATTTCACCGGGTCTGTGATGACAGTCATCTTGACCCGGTGTGAGAGGGGGAGCCGCCGTCGGAACTGGAGCCTGTAGCCATTGGTTAAGGTGGCAACCACCCATGGATCTACGGCATGAGCAGCCCAGAAATTCAGCTGCTGATGGGAAAAATGTCCGACGGCTGGCCCGGTGGCATCATCTTCTATCCCTACGGCCCCTGGGGGCTCTGGGGGGAGGGCGTCCAGGATTTGAGGCCCGGGTCTGTCTAACAGGGCGGCAGACTGGCTCACGAAAGTCCCTCCTCGGTCTCTGCCGCACATCATGGGGATAGGAACCAACGTGTCTGCCACCAGTCTGAGGTCGTGGCTGAACGCTGGGGGTAGTGGCAGGGCGGCCCGAATGCTGGGGAAAAGCAGGTATGCTCCTGCGAAGGCCGGAAAGCTGCTGGCTAGTCTGACGTGCCTGAGCAGTCCGTTCCAGCGCCTCCAAGGCAGCTGATCCAAACAGCTCCCCTGGTACAACCGGGACACCCCTGAGGGTCCTACGGCATGCTTCAGTCAGAGGAGATTGTGCCAACCAGACCTGTCTACGAGCTTGGACAAGGAAAGACATGACCCGTCCAAGCTCTCTGGTCATCAGCGCGAAGGCCTGCAGCGCTGCGTCACTATAACCAACCGCCGCACTTGCACCACCAGTGTCCTGAACAGATGCAGACAGGGCAAACATGAGGTGCGCCAGAGAATTGCCAAGGCGGCCAGCACGCGCTCCTGCATTGTACGCCTTACAGAGGAGGTCATCTGTAACCCGACATTGAGTCCGCGGGCACCGGACATCAGGACGCAGGGCTTCATCTGGTGACACAATCAGTGAAGCAACAGCTGGTTCAATTGCTGGCATACGGTCCAGGCCGGCCTTCACCGACTCATGCATGGCAGCTAATACACGACCATCCGATGAGACGCGACAGCGCTCTCGGTTCCCGCCAACAGGCGTGTAACTCCTTCAAGTACTCCTCTGATGGAGGTACAGAAAAAGGAGTAGGAGCCCTTCCACGTCTGAAAAAGGCACTGCCGGAGCTGGATGCCTCTCCTTGTGGGAGTTCCAGCTGCAGCTGCTTCAGGGCCATAGACATGACCTCCTGCATGGAACCGTCACCGGCCTCTCCAACCGCACTCTGAGATGAAAATGAACCAGCCTCAGAGGCTTGAGAGGACCCTGCCTCCTCCTCATCTCTAAAATGAGAAGCGGAAGCAGCCAGAGAGATAACGTCATCCTCTACAACCAGCTCGGGCATTGGTGGGGAAGAGAGCCCAACCACTGGGAGCGAGGGATCAGATTGCCGTGTCTGCAACAAGGACTTCATCTCTGCCAGCTCTGCTGACAACTGCTCCACCCTTGTGGACAGGCCCTGGTCAGGTTTGGCCCGCTTCCTCCGGTGGAGGGGCACAGATGCTGTGGTCCCACCACGGCGCTTAGAACGCTTGGGGGGAACCACCTGCCCAGAGGGCGGAAGGTCCGAGCCCTCCTGGGGGCACAACTGGGCCAACCGGGCCACCCTCACTGCATGGGGCATAAAGCTGCAGTTCATACAGGGGTTCTCAGACAGCGCCTCCAAAAGGTGCTCATGTCCAAGGCAGGTAGGGCACAGGTCGTGGCCATCCTCTGCCTGCAGGGCAGCCCCACAATCCATGCAGCTGTGAGAGCCATCCATGTCGAAGGCCGACAAGGCTTAAAGAACAGAAAGTTATCGAAAATCGGGAGAGGGGGCGCAAACGCAGCCGTCACCAATTACAGCAGAGAAACGAAAGAGGCTGCGAGCACAAGGCAGCCGATACTGGGAGAGGGGGCGAGAACCGCTACCGTCACCAGGTATAAAACCAATAAACCAAAAAAGCTAACAACGTTAGCTGTATGGAAACTTAAGTTGGGAGTAGGAGCGAACAACGCTGCCGTCACCAATTAAGAGAGCAGACCAACGAAAAGGCTGCAAAAAAGGTTGATTTTGGGAGAGGGGGCGAAAACGCTGCCGTCACCATTCATAACTAAGCAGACCGATGAAGAAGGCTGCAAACAAACCAAAAAAGGCTAACAACGTTAGCCGTCTCCAACTTCGGCAAACGAAGTAGACCACACTTGGTTGGGAGAGGGGGCGAAAACCGCGGCCGTCAGTAATTATAGCAGCGCAGACCGGTGAAAAAAAGGATGCAAAAGTAGGGAATATACTGGGAGAGGGGGCGAAAACCGCTGCCGTCACCAGGTATAACACCAACAAACTAAAGAAGCTAACTACGTTAGCCGTATATAACTTCGGCAGTGAAGTTATTCACACTGGGAGTAGGGGCGAAAACGCTGCTGTCACCAGTTCGAAACAAAACAGCACGAAGCTGTAGGTAAAAAGCTAAAGTCGTGAGCCGGGAGAGGGGGCGCGGACGCTACCATCACCAGCAAACAACTCACTTACCTTCCGTAATCCTCAGAATCGACCCGTTGCAGCCCTGGGAGGGCGGAGAATAACCGCAACTCCGGTCAAGATACAGGGGCTTCAGACAACGGGGAAGTTAGCGAACCGCTTGCGAGAAGAAAAAAGGAGCAGAGCAAAGGATGACACCAGGCTATATAGCTTCTGAGTGGTCATCCGGTGTCACAGGTGTGACTCTGTTGGTATAATTACTCGAACTGCGCATGCCCGAAGGGAACATTCAGTGCTTTCAGCACCGCCCTCTGGCGGTCAGTAGGGATGAAATAGAACTGATTTGTTTTGTTCCCTGCTAAAACAAAGTTTGTGAATTCCGTTAAATAATCGTTAATATATATCTGTCATTTGTGTGTTTTTAGCTTTCTTCCTGTGTGGAAAGTTTTTCAAAATTTTAAACATTAGTGCAGTGGTTTATGTTAAAATAAACCTTTGGGCTAAGTTGTCGCAAGCGGGTTTTTCTTGTGAATTTGGTCTTAAATTTTTATTTCAAGTGGCATTAAAAAGTCTTGAATTTAACGTGCCTTATGCTGGAGGAACCCTGGTTACAAAACGGGGTCTATTTAGGGTCGTACTCTTTAAAGGTTCAGCTGCTTTCTCCTGTTGGGTGCAGTGAAAATGCGTTTGAAATAGTGTTTGACTTTCTATTTCCTCCTTCCTTGATTAAAGGGAAGTCTTATCAAATGTGATTCATGTTGGTAAAAACATGGAGGGATGCCTTTCAATTTTAATGTGAATATTTGATTCATTACTGTACGTGAATGATCACTGGTCGTTACTCATGTTGCTCCTTCAGCAAGAGAAACGGATCTTCACCAACTTCCATCGCCAGCTCTTCTGTTGGATTGATAAGTGGGTGGAGCTGAATATGGATGACATCCGGCGAATGGAGGCAGAGACTCAGAGGGAGCTCGAAGAGGTATGTGTGCAACAAACTCCAATCACTGAAGTAATTGGCATTTGTATGGCCTACTTATGAAACCGGTTTTAGGTTGGTTTTAAATTTTCCTTTATTCCATCACGTTAAAACAGGAGAATAGCTCAAGTATACCTCATTTCTTAAAGATAGGGAGACTCAACAGGGTTTATTTCCTAGTAATTGTGCATGAAACCTTTTTATACATTTAAAATTTTAAAGGGCAGGTTAGACTTGCGCAACTGCATACATCAGATGTCGCTTGCGTCTGGTCGCGAACCAGTTTTGTTGCTATGCTTCTGCTTTGTCGGCCTGGAATTTCTAGGGACGCACAGCATTTTCCCGCCAAAGCTCAAGAGGGAGTCTATTCGAGAACTTCCACGGATTGTACTTCCGAAACTCCTCGATTAACCTTTCGTCGTAGTTTTCCATTGGTTTTTAAAAATGGCGCGCCCCGGCACCGAATCAAGAAAGACGACCACACAGACGGCCGGAAAGGCATACCAAGGGCCAATCACAGCTGCTTTTTGTATGCGTGGGTTTGCCACCGTCCAACACGTAGTCAGCATGTTTTTGAGGAGCTCGACGACGGTTGCAGAACCTCTGTGCGGGGGGTTTGATCGCACACAGAGAGATTTGACAGTTGCAAAGGCTATGCGCCAGAAACATAAATTGGTCTTAAGAGTTCCGTTAAACCCAATACTATTACAAATATTAATGGTCAGATTCAACCTTTGCATCGCTGCTGTAATTAATTCAAAACTCTTCAGTCCAAATATATGAACAAACTCTTAAGAGGCTGATTATATGTAATATTAAAATCTTTGGACTTGATTTAATTGTTCAGCCAATTATTGCCATTGAAAAGCCTCCCCATATGATGATCCTGCTGCCACCACCATGCTTGACTCTATAGATGCTTTTTAGGCAGTAAAGAATTCAGACCTGGTTGTTCAATCTTTTTCCCATCAGACCAGAGAATGTTGTTTTTCATGATCCGACTTCTTAAGGTGCTTTTCGGCAAATTCCAGACAGGCTGCCATGTGCCTTTTATTAAGGAACTGCTTTAATTTCGGCACCCTAGCATTCAGGCCTACCTACAAACAGGAAGCTGTAGAATGCGCTGAAAGATGATCCATGGAAACGGTATGCTCCTCCAGCTCTGTTTGGGCTTAATGGAAAAGGCTGTGAATAGTTAGATATTAATTCATAGTTTTATATTTTTAATCAATATATAATCTCAAAGAGAATGTTTCCCAAATGTCGTGTGTATAACTTTAAGTAAATAGAACAAGTAAAAACGAATTGGAACAAGGCTGTAACAACTATATATAGAAGAAATGCAGTGCTATGGAAATTTGCACTGTACTCCAATTCATGCGTCTTATAAGGACCTACTTTACTTGTCATTTGTTTTATTTTTGTCCAGATTCGAAACAAGGGTTCAGTACGAGGTACACTGGCTGCAGAGGGGTAGCAGGCCAGGTTTAGGTCTATGTGTTGCTTTGCAAGCTGTTGCTGGTGCAGGCAAGTCTCTTAATGTTTTTTTCCACTGGGCTGGCTTAGGCAAACTGCGGTGTAAAAACTGTTTATGTAATGCAAACCTCTGACATGAAGTAGCCGACTGTCCTCAGCACTGCACTGTGCTTTTAGATCCTTTTTTTTTTTTTTTACTTCCATATGATTTTATGCTGATCATTTTTTTTCTGTCATCACATAAAACCCACATACGAAATAAAATGAACTTTTTTTTAATGCTAAATTAATGCCTTCCACGGTATTCCATGTTGAATACTATGAAAGTTGCGTTGTTTTTTTCCTGCAAGTTGCAGAATAGTGAAGAGTGTCTGTTTGTGGCTTGGTGCAGGAAACCCAACCCCTGTGTGGAAAAAAAAAAATTCACTCTTTCTCATCTCTGTTTGGGTTTCCTACTCACTCTGTTTTTCGGGTGTGGCTCTGGGGTTTTACTCCACATTTCCATGTTTGACTTGTTCAGAAACAGACACAGTGTGGATGGTGTGTTATAAGGTTTTCCTTTTTAAGACATAGTGAAAATATGATGTCATGTTTTCTCAGTATTTGGCTGCCATTTTCTAACGCCAACAGAGGAACGTCCTTAGAACCAACTGACCATGGCCTCCAAACAAGAAAACTTTTCACAAGAGAGTGTTTTCGTCAAAATAACCCAAAGCGTTTTTAAATAACAGAAGCTTCTCCAAATGTAAGTTTGGGAGATTTTGTCCTTACAAGGAGCGCCAAGAAGGAATCTGGATTAGACTGGCCAGAGTGGGCCAGTCTTAAACATTCCTAGCGTACTACCAACATACTGCAATTTGTGCTTTGCCTTTCCCCCCTTCAGAAGATCTCGGCCAGTTCGCCATGTGTTTCCCATTTTCCACTGGAGCAAGTAAACAGGCGGGTGCCATCAAAGAGGGCTGTGGTGAGGCCGGCAGTCCAGTCCTGAGCCTCCAAGCTGCGGGGTTAGCAGGGTCACACATGAACTGTACTGAATGATGTGCAACGGTTCCACCAGTGCGGTGCAGTTGGTGAAGAGTAGGGATGCATGACAGGGATGAGGTGTGGACAGGGTGCTTCACGTCGACTCCTTTTCTCCTCATTAACATACAAATGGAATTCTGCTGTTGAGCCGAAGTCCGGCCCGTGATTGAGAAAGAGAAGAGAGCGTCAGAGGAAGCGGGGAGGAAAAAGATGGCGAAGCGGGAGGCTAAATCCTCCTATTTCATCAGCTCCGTCTTTTCCCCTGTTTAGAGCCAATGTTGGTTTTAACCGTTTCATTTGAGCTCTTGGGCTATCAGATTCAAACGCTAATTGACTTTCCAAAGCCATCAGCCTCAGGGTGGGAGCATTTGAAAGGGATGCTTTTATCTACCTTGAAGAAAAACAGCAGGAGAGATAAGTATTGTTAAAGCAGACTTTTAAGGAAGGCCAAGTTTCAGCTTGCAGAAAGCAATTTGTTTGGGTTTTTATAAAGTAAAACCTCAGGAATATAATGAATAAAAACCTCTTAGTGAAGCTTTCAAAAGGTTATTTACATTAGTCCATCAAAGCAAATTGTCCCTGACCTTTATTTGATGCTTATCATCATGTTTAATTATCAGAGCATCAAACTGCATATTGATTCCTGGTTTTGATGCCTTTTTATTGATTTAACTATTTGTTGTTTTGTTTTGATTCCTTTCAGAAGCTTAGAAACAGGACTGTTCTAAGCGTGAAAAGCAGCTTTTATCTACTCGTTGAGCTTTCCATAGCATCCACTGTCTCACTTGTTTAATGTAGATTCTAATGACTTTTTTTTTTTTTTTTTTTTTCATACAGCTTCGCAAAAAGGGTGAAGTACGGGGAACCAGTGCTGCAGACGAATGAAAAGGAACAGGATTAAAAATGGCCGCAGTGCGTGATGGTGTCTGCTAAAAATGCTCCTTTGTTTGCCACTTTTTACCTTAACTGATTTGGGCTGCGGAGGAAGGAGCACAGCTGCCTGCGATTGATACTCAAGGTCCCTGACTTGACCTCAATTATAGACATTCTGTCCACTGAAGAATTAGTTTTGTTTGGTGTTCTTTTTTTTTATGTCACTTACACACACGATCCTTGCTGATAAGAGTGCTTATTTTTGATCATCTTGGCCATTCATGTAAATAAGACTTGGAAAAAGTGTGTGAGGGTATGTGCCGTCTGAATTATTACAGAAGGAAATAACCAATCCTAGTCCCACGCCAGAAGGACCAAAAATGTCCGACTGTAATTTATATACATTTTTCACATTCCTTTCAAGCTGATGTCGGGTTTTACCCTTTGCTATCCTAACTGTAAACTGTGTTTTCAATTTGTCAAACTTCTGTTTCTACCTGCCTCAGCCTCCATTAAGTGATTACTAACGCCCTCTGCGCCCATGCCCATAACAACCCCCGCTCACCCAACTCCTGCCCCACCTTAACCAAAGCACTGCATCTTATTATCACTGACAATCATGCCCGTACAGGTGTTCTCTCTCTCTACTGTTCAGACCTGGTGGGGAAACGCGCACACCAGTGACGCATGCATCAGAACCTGAGGATGAACATGTGAATTCACTCTTGAAGGTGTGTGAACAGGCACAGGTGTGGATACCTTTGCACTGACTGATCTGTTACAAGCTCAAGCTGGGCAGATCCACACAAGCTCGTTCACCTAAAAGATGTTAACACCCCCCCCTCCATGCTCTCTATTCTAAAGACATTTGTACATAACACACAGTACAGCGTTCATCCCCTTTAACAGATGTCCCTAGAGGAAAAAGTGCACTGAAAAACAGCTACAGATGGTGCTGCACCCCTCCAGCCAAACTTCGCTGCGTTGAACCGGCTCACGTCCAAAGGCCAGCTTTGCTCATCTGGTTTCCTGAGGAGAGTTTTCCCCCCCCCCACTTTTCACTCTCCAGTTTCAAAGCAGCCATGTTTACAGGTTCACAGTTGGTTTATTTGTACCCAGTCAACACCAACACCAATCTTTTATATTTAACACCTCTCAGCTCTGCCAGCTAGTGCTAGCTACCTCTTGTTTTCTAACTGGCAGCTTTCCTGATTCCTAAGGATTACCATTAGCCTTACCATTTGCTGCTGCTGCTTCCTGGGACAGAAATCTTAGCAGATAGTGCTTTATGAGTGACAGTATTTCTGATTAATCTGGTTTTTGGAGGAGCTGCAGGTTTTGCATGCCGTACAGCTAAGTAAATGGGGTTGCTTTAACATGTACAAGAAATGCAGCCTGTGTTCTTTGCTGCACCAAGATGCTGCAGATTTCCACGTCATGTTGAGCTGATTCACCATATTAGATTTCATAATCACATTTTCTCTTTAGACTTTGAAACCTCATGGAATAAGCCTAGTGTGGTTGTTGTTACATGAATGACATGAACTTTTACTCATTTGATCCCTGCTGAGTTTTACGTTCTAGTTGTTGTGTTTAATCATAGTTTCTTTACAGAAATCTCTATTTTTACCAAGGAGAATGGAAATGACCTATTTTTTTTATTCCAATCGTCTGACTGTAAAGTTAACATTTTCTGTCCAAAGAGTCAAGTTGCAGATTTGTCATGTTTACATGTTTTCCAATCATCATAGGAAATCGAAAGCTAATAAATGATATATTCTCAGGTGAATGATATGGGTCAGAGCTTTAACCGACTGTTGCTCCCGCCTCCAAATTAAATGAGAAAATAATTAACTCTTGTAATATGATGCTGATAGGTCAGAGTTACGACAATCTCAACATGCATAGCTTTTTCTTTTAGAGAGCAAAAAACTGCAGTGGATATTTGGTGGCACTGTGCATTATAAACCTATTGTTACCGAATATATCAGAATGGGTTTGGAAGAGTTAGCGGGAGATGTATGTTTTCCAGAACTTTAAGGACTGTCAAGATGACTGAAGAATATTTTGAAGGAACTGTATCTTATGTATGAAACACACAACACCTTAAGGCTTTTTAATGGTTTTGATCAGATAGTGAAAATCAGGGGTTATGATGGTGACTATATGAACTATTGTGCCTTTATTTTTTTCTAGAAATCTCTTGTATGACATATGCATATTGTATTTCCAGTTATCAATAAATTGTCACTAAATTATACTGTTTTTATACAGAGTTGTCCTTTTCCTCAGAGGGTTTCTGCTTCTTGGCCTCTTTGTCAATTTAGTAATTACCCATGTACCTGTAAGCCGTTTTACTGTTTTGTTTTTATCTTTAGATTATCTCTTATACAAATTAATATGATCTGAAGCTTATGACATGTACCTAATCAACTTGCATTTTAAAGTACAATGCATTAAGACGGTCTTCACAGCCTTTGTCATGAGGCCTTCATATTGAGCAGTGGTGCATTGTGATCATATCTTAAACATTGCTTAAATCAGGAATCCCCAAAGTTGGTCCTCAAGGGCCGCTGTCCTGCAGGTTTTTGAGATTTCCCTGCTTGAGCGCAGCTGAACAAAAGCCTTTTAATCAGCTTTCAATTAAAATCAGCTGTGCTGGAGCAAGGAAACCGCTAAAACCTGCAGGACGTTGGCCCTCGAGGACCACCTTTGGGGATGCCTGGCTTAAGCAGACACCTGTAAGGTCCTAAAGTTGTCTGGGCGCACAAATGAAGTATGAAGTCACAACGCTTGTAATATATCCACTAGGGTTGTCACGATACTACGGTAAACTTTTCAACTCGATACCGATACTAAGTAAAATATTCGATACTCTATACCCTTTTCGATACCACAAGAATAAAAACATGACTCTAAAATTCAACAAATATTTTCATTACTAAAAAAATACAAGAAATAAATAAAATAATATTTTGATTTTGTATGCTGTGCACAACATTAAGCAAGCTTGATAAAAAAATTAAAATTAAGTGTTCCTTCCTTGGCTATGTTTTGCAGACATAATGACACTGGCCAAACCAGTTTAAAAAAAAAAAATTATCAGCAGCTGCACCTGTTACAAAAAAAGTCTGAAACTGAAAAATACACAGAATTATTCAATCACACAGTGTTCTGAAAGTGTATCAATAGTTTTTAAAATGAGTATTGTATCAGGATACAACGTTTCAGTAACGATACTTTTTTGAGTATCGATACTTTTGACAGCCCTAGTATCCACACCTACCAGATATTTGCCTGGTGATGAACGGTTCCTGGTTTCCTCCAAACCCGAACCCAGGAATCCACACCATGAACTCGATCTTTGCCTCATCAGACCAGGGTTTTTTTTGTTTCTCGGGGTCAAAGTTCTTATGGTGCCTTTTTGGAACACTCCAGACAGGCTGCCATGTGCCTTTTATTAAGGAGGGCTTTTTGTCTCCCCACTGAACCGTACAAGCCTGCTTACCTACATAACTATTTGACGTGTAGGAACATACCAGGGATAATTGGTGGAAACAGTATGCACCTCCAGTTCACTTTGGTCTAATCGCAAAGGCTGTGAATGCATAAATTAGTTTGCTATTTTTTAACTTTTCCACAATTTTATATCAATGGTTGTATGTAAAATTTTAAGGAAACAGGGTCTAATACCATTTTGAATACAGTTGTAAAATTACTGGATAAAGTGCGCCACTGTAAATACGTTTCAGATGCACTTTTTGTATTTTTAGCTTATTTTATTTTATGTGCTGTACTGCTATGATGCTGTACGGTATGCTATGGTACGGTACTGCTGTTTCATTCTTAACTTTTAAAGAAATAAGCTTTTATTTAGAAATTACATTGCAATCATGGCTTCCTCAGATCATTAACCCTTTTTGCTCCTGATTAAAGGGCTTCTTTTCAATAAACCATCTTAAAGCTACAGTGTGTAACTTTTAGCGACATCTAGCGGTCAGACTGCAGACTGCAGCAACATGAACATCTCCCCCCCACCGCTTCTCCCCCCCAACAGTACGGCGAGCGTTACTGGACAAAATGTCTTCCACAACGTCCACATCACCTACCTTCTCAAGTGATGAGGTTTGTTTACATAGATAATTTTACAGATAGTATTTCATTACTCTGTGTAGGGTATAGATTTCATGTAGACTTAAGATAATAAATATACCCGTTATTTTTTCTACATCGTTGTGAAATTTTGGCGATCTCGCAATCACTAGTTTGTTGGCTCTGCGCTGCCGTAGCGCAAAGATGTCTGCCTCCATGGCTGCGAGACCCGCTCCTATGTAATTATAAATAACGAATTCTAAGGCAACGCAAATATTAAGGTTAAGAGGCTGAGCTCGTAGATGATGATAAATAACATAGTTATGTATAATATATTACATTTCTGACTGTATATCCCTGTAATTATTACACACTGTAGCTTTAAATACTATTTGGATCCCAACCTTTTACACTTTCATACATGCTTTTCTCACCCTCTTAAGTGTGATTCAGTGATATTTCATGTCTGCTTGATAAGTTGTATATGAATCTGAATATTACACAAGCCAATGAAAGCGTTTTAATTTAGATATCTGGTTTGAAGAATCAAAGGAAAGAAAGCTGACTTGACTTGTTTCACAATTGCAAATACACAAAGGCAGGATGTTCAAAATTGTGTTCTTAAGCATATTTCGCTGGAAAGTTGAGTGAAAGGAAAAGCCTAGGAAGAAACGGGGTTAACCTCTGTTTTGAGAGTAGTGTAGAATGAATAGCATTACAGCAGTGGGGGCGACTCAGAAGCATGAAGCTTGAGTCATACGTACTTTTTGAGTCACCAGACGCAGATGTATCCTGGACATGGATCCAATTGTCACATTCCTTGAGGCAAGCCATTCCTGAAGCAGACGGCTCAAGGCCAGTATTGCGGCAAATTGGGCTGCTGAAAGTTCAGCAGAGCAACGGTGGATGGATGAAGTCATTCACGCAGAGAAGCCCTAGAATGTGATATGCATTTATAGTACATGGGAATATAGTTAGCAGACATTTATGCATTAATTTCATTTTTCATTGTTAACAACACACCAACCGAGACCGAATTTTCCCATTAAATTCTTAATTAAAAATAATTAAGGTCTTCAGGTAATATATACAGACAAAAGTGGTGTTTTTTTCATGCTTATGTTTCAGAACTACAGGATTTTTCTTGAAATCTTGACTCTTTTCATTTGGCTTTTAATTTTCCCCAGATCCATAAAAAAAACCAATCTCAAGTTGTTTTTTAGACTGAATCTAAAAGGCATCTTAAATCTCAATCTTTTGATTAATACAATACACACAATCTGAAATGTTTTGGTCTAATCGCAAAGGCTGTGAATGCATAAATTAGTTTGCTATTTTTTAACTTTTCCACAATTTTATATCGATGGTTGTATGTAAAATTTTAAGGAAACCAAGTAATCTAATACCACTGGGAATACAGTTGTAAAATTACTGGATAAAGTGCGCCACTGTAAATACGTTTCAGATGCACTTTATAGTTTTAGCTTTTTTTTTTTTTTTTTTTTTTACGTTCTGCTACTGTACTGCTATGATACTGTATGGTACGGTACTGCGGTTTCATTTTTTATTTTATTTTTTTCGTTCTTTTCATTCTTGACTTTTAAACAAAGAAGCTTTTATTTAAAAATACATAGCAATCATGGCTTCCTCAATTCATTAACCCTTTTTGCTCCTGATTAACGGGCTTCTTTTCAATAAACCATCTTAACCCTTTAAAGCCCGATCCAAGAATAAAACAAAACAGAAAATTACTTTTTTTTGGTTTGAAGTCCTTATTTGGCCTTTTAACAAAATATGTAAAAATAAATAAATACATTTTTGATATTAATAATTTATTACTATGCAATAAGTCAAAATTATTTTTTGTGTACTCTTCTGCCCTCAGTTATCAGGTATATCTGATTGTGTACAATAGGATTTTGAGCAAAGTTTTTAACAAATTATGCAAAATGTGTCAGACGCAAAACATTTCAGAAACCGTATGTATCAAATATGATACATTTGGCATTACAGGGTTAAATACTTTTTGGATCCCAACCTTTTACACTTTCATACATGCTTTTCTCACCCTCTTAAGTGTGTTTCAGTGATATTTCATGTCTGCTTGACAAGTTGTATATGAATCTGAATATTACACAAGCCAATGAAAGGGTTTTAATTTAGAAATGTGGTTTGAAGAATCAAAGGAAAGAAAGCTGACTTGACTTGTTTCACAATTGCAAATACACAAAGGCAGGATGTTCAAAATTGTGTTCTTAAGCATATTTCGCTGGAAAGTTGGGTGAAAGGAAAAGCCTAGGAAGAAACGGGGTTAACCTCTGTTTTGAGAGTAGTGTAGAATGAATAGTATTACAGCAGTGGGGGCGACTCAGAAGCATGAAGCTTGAGTCATACGTACTTTTTGAGTCACCAGACGCAGATGTATCCTGGACATGGATCCAATTGTCACATTCCTTGAGGCAAGCCATTCCTGAAGCAGACGGCTCAAGGCCAGTATTGCGGCAAATTGGGCTGCTGAAAGTTCAGCAGAGCAACGGTGGATGGATGAAGTAATTCACGCAGAGAAGCCCTAGAATCTGATATGCATTCATAGTACATGGGAATATAGTTAGCAGACATTTATGCATTAATTTCATTTTTCATTGTTAAGAACACACCAACCGAGACCAAGGAGTACCGAGATGAGGCCAAGACCATATAAGATCTTGGTCTCAGCCTCGGTTGGTGTGGTCTTCACTATAACGCTGCCTCTAAGGTCCAGTAGTATATACAGGTGCTGGTCATAAAATTAGAATATCATGAAAAAGTAGATTGATTTCAGTAATTCCATTTAAAAAGTGAAACTTGTATATTATATTCATACATTACATACAAACTCATATATTTCAGATGTTTATTTTGTTTAATTTTGATGATTACAAATGACAACAAATGAAAATCTCAAATTCATCATATCAGAAAATTAGAATATTACTGAAGACCAATAAAAACAAAGGATTTATAGAAATGTTGGCCAACTGAAAAGTATGAACATGAAAAGTATGAGCATGTACAGCACTCAGTATTTAGTTGGGCCTCCTTTGGCCTGTATTACTGCAGCAATGCGGCGTGGCATGGAGTCGATCAGTCTGTGGCACTGCTCAGGTGTTATGATAGCCCAGGTTGCTC